TTATGTAAATAGAAATGTAAAATTATATATTTTATTCCTTTTTTTATATAACATTTACGTGATACATTATGTGGTAATAAAAGAAAACTTTCTCTTCGTTGCATGATAAATAAAAAGCTATAACGATAAACTATAGTAAGCAAAAATCTTCTGTCAAAGAAAAGTTCCTTCTTGGAAACCGCACCGATGTACTAGACTAACAAAAGAAGTTCCATAAACTGGGTATCCCTTAGTGTCAGACTGGATAGGGATGTCAAACAATCTTAATACGGCTGACATGACACAAGTTTACCGTCCGGACGACTTATCTAAGTCCATCCCAAGAAGACTACTTCATATGTGAAATCCCAATGGGGTTTAACAATGTTTCTGTTTTTGCAGACAACGGTTTGGAGAAAATGAAACGATTCTCATCATCGATAAAATAAAGAAAAGTCAAGTAAAAAATGAAATGTATAATTTATTACTCATCATGCTTTTAAATGCTTTTTTTTTAACAGTCATTACATTAAAACGACGCATTAAAAGTCACCAGACAATTCTCCCACATGAATAATATAGAGGAGTTTGTCGACTACTAACGAAGGAAATTATTTATAAATCACAATTAAAATAATTGTTATTCATAATTTGTAAACATGTTTTAAATTTATTTACGAATTTAAATAAATATATTAAGAAACAATATAAATGAAATAAATTTGATTAACGAGTAAAGTTTCTTACAAGAAGTATATATTTGATAATTAATTAAGATCGATTAATTTTAATATTCTAGTAAATCATTTTAATTAATTTGATACATGTGGAGTCGTAATTAAAATTATAGATCCACAATTCTTAATTGTAAAACTTTAACTCTTTTACAATCTAAACAGAAAAAAAAATATTTACGTTTGATTGGAAAAAAATATTTAACGTTTTCTGTGGTTTAGAATGCTGAAAACATAAAGTAATGGCGATTTTTCTGGTGACACGAGAGTTTAAAAATAAAAGAGAATCAATAATAAAGGGCGGAAAATCGAAATAATTTAAGATTAAATACGAGACATCTGATCTATTATTTTCTTAACATTACCATTTAAATAAGTGAAGGATAATTAAGTTTTCCAGATGGCTGAGCATATTTATTCATCTGAATTATGAGTCTGAAGTCTTCAAAGCGCAATTCAAGTTGACTGTCATATTTCTTCTCTCCGTTCTTTAACAATTATAAATAAAGAATTGGGTCATTTGCATGAAAACAATGATTTATCCATAGCCGAAGACATCACTTTCAAACTCTTAATTGCAGATTTACCGGAACTTTAAAGATCCTAAACTTTAATTTCCACACCACTGAGTAGCGGTGGTCTATTAAGTCTTTTATTTACATTGTTTGCGAACTAAATAACTGGATGAACACTTTATAATGTTTGTCTAGCGATAATTCTTAGTAAAGGAAAGAACGAATTCATTTACATAACAAATACAAAGTTTAAGAAGCGATCGTTTATTCATATAGAAGCCATTTCTTCAACTAGAAGCAGGAAGTTTTTATCATTTATTTTGTATTAATAATATGAAAAAATAAATCTTCCTTAAACTTGTATACGGTATATCGAAACTGAAATCGTTAAGTCGAGTTACTAGATCATTCGTTATATCGAAATTTAGTTGCAAGTTTAAGAAATTTCTGCTCTACTCATTAAACGACTCATCTAACAAGCAGTTTCGTAATAAACATTTTCGATCTCTTTAGCCTACTTTAAAATTTTGCAAAATTTTTAACAGAAAAGTATTTCGTACTTTGTAAAGAGATCTCTACATACCCATGAGACAGAAGATTTAAGGGGAGTGATAGCGTTAAAGTTACCGTATCCGCATCGACCGATATCTAATGATCGGTAACGTTATTTAGAGCACTTAGTACATTAGTTGGACGTTTCCTCTATAGAAAGAGAGAGAGAGAATCACTAAATAACCCAAGGAAAAAAAACTTACACGGTTAGTTGTCATCTGGTAAAAAAAAATAAAAATAAAAAAATAACGAAGATCGTTATCTATTCATTTTAAAAAATTTAGTAGTTAAAAGTTTAGTTATTAAAAAATATAGAGAGAGTTAAGAAGAAGCGAAGTGACTCTTTGAATTTTATGTTATACTCCCAAGAGATTTCAACGAGAATTTGGTTGCTGCATTCTCTACAACGAAATCATAGACACCACAAGAATTCCCCGAAGACTCGGACGAGTTATTGGTGATTTCTGTAGATGGGGCACTTGTAGGAATTCCTCTCCTAGATATAGATCACGTGATGGGAATGGAGCTTACGTTTCATCACGGTAGAAATTCACTCGAGATTGGAAAGGTATGACCCAAGGTAGATTTGTAATGTTGTACTTGCATCGATATCCTCCCTAATCTCTTTTTATGAACGTGACAGTTTATTCAATGATTTATTTTTTTTTCTTTTAAAAAATAACATGTTTATATTTACCTAGTTCTCGACTGAAATTGTCTAAAAATAACTTAGTTTCTAGCCACCTAACTTAGTAGATATAACAAGAGTGACTCAGTCAAAAAATCAAATTTATATTCCTGTGCACTTTCGAAAATATTATTTACATATTTAAATTTATTGAATAAAGTTCAATTATTTAGCAGAAGGCAAAGTTTTCTAGTCAGAAATATTTTAGCAATAAAAATATTTTAAAACTTTAATGACAATTTTCACTTAAAAACTACCGATAGACATTACATTATTCAGCTAATATTTTTTCCAAAAACTAGATAAATTGTTAATTTAACTCAATTTAAATATACTTTTATAAGTAATGTTAAACCATGATATCAATGAGCCTCGTATGTCTACTCTGATAAGAACCTTCTCCACGTTACACGAATAAAACTAATTTATTTATTTATTTTTTTTTAAAGATTAGAATAAGAATTAGAAAATTCTTAACACTTTCAGAATTTTTGAAATTTAAATAGCATTATAATTCTATTTTTTTATTTACTTAAAATATATGGCATAATTAATAATAGCAAGACTTTCATCTGAAAGATGCTTCCGTATGAAGAAGAATGCTGAGCATTTAATTAGTACAGATTACTCCATGTTGCTAGGATGGAAGAAGCGATATTTGTTGTCAAGTTGTTCCATTATACGAATATTTGGAAGACATATCTTCGTTTCTATGGCGTCTCCATCTAGTTTAGATATTAAAAAATAATTTAAAGTATTGTACATGTCTTGGATTCCTTTTTTAATAATTATTATACCATGAAATTCATCTTTTTTCTCCAAAATGATTATAAAAATTCCATAAAAATAGAATTAAAAAATTTCTGTAAACTGACAAAAAGTTTCTGTATTGTTTATTATTATTATTTATTTATTAAACAATCAAGTTATTTTTAATTTTATTTATATTTCGAAGGGTTAGAAGCATTTTAAAAAATTTAATTAAATTCCTTAATAATAATTATTTGTAAATAATTTAAGCTAAGTTAAAAAATTATTTACATTTAATTTAAAAAAAAAATTGAAAATAAAAAGGTGTAAATATTTCCAATTCGAAAAAAAAAATGTTTTTCTGTTTTATTTTACGCTTTTTTCCTGTGAAAGTTCAAATAAATGCATTGAAAATTAAATTTGAGGATAAAATGGGTATCGTAATTGTATGAGAAGTAAAAAATATATATAGAAAAAAGATTCAGAAGTTAAAGTTTTTAAATTATTTTCTCATAGAATCGATTTTATATGTTATAATTCCTTCACTGAGTTTCAATATAAATTTAATATCTAAATTCTATCCAAAAAAAGGAAAAATTTCAATAACTTTCATTCGTTTAAAATTTCGAATTGAATTTTTAAATAGGAAAAAAATCATTCCTAATATTATAGACAAATTTGATGAATACTATACACTACACTACATCACACGCTTCTCAAATTACCCATTTGAAAAATGGCATTATAGTTAAACTAACAAAAATTAATTTTAAAGCAGTAAAATTAAGAAAATAAANATAAAATTTATTTCAATTGTTATTTAGTTTGATTTTCACAATTTCAATAAAGGGGAGAAAAATTTAGAAAGGATAATAAAATATAAAACCATGAAAAGGATTTTTTGTTTTATTATTTTTAGTTTTATAGCAGTTATTTTCTTATGCAGGATGCGACAGACTTTTACAGAAGAGAAAACAAATTTGGCATCAAACAATTTGGCAACAGTTTCTTTTCCAAGGCACCACGCTGAATACTTAGCAGTTATTCTTCTAAGCTTAGTGATCTATAAAATGCATATCTATTGTACAATGGCGTCGATGTCAAAATGTAATTTCCCTATTTTACTATACACAAATAACAGTCTATTTCTCACAACGACTATTTCGATCGAAAGAAGAAACGCATCTGGAACACGAAAACTACTATACAAATCTAAATAAAAATTTTCCTAAATAATAGAAAGAAAAAAATAACCGATCAGATTGTAAAGGAACGTTTACGGATATTTACTTAGATTATAGTTTACAACACGTATTTTTGTTCCAGATGGGCAAAACAGATTTACGAAATAACATTACAATCGATAAATCTTAATTTAAATGTCGTCTCGCAGATAAATGTTATTTGTGTGACGTAAATAATCCACCTCACACAATCTTTACTAAATCCATATTCTGCAGAGAATATACTTTTTCGTATTTGTTATTTATTATTATTGATAAAAAATTTACGCATTTTGTGTAATTTATCGAATAAAGAAAATAAGAACTATTATAAAAGTTTAAGTGAAGAATATTTTATAATCAAGCTCATCGTAATTTACATAATTTATAAGATAAATCTCACCAGATTTAAGTCCATTTCCTGATTTTTAAAAATTAAAATCGATTAAAATAACTGTTGAAAATAATATTGTTTAACATTCATATAATGAAATAAATCTATAACATCAAAATTCCGAGTTTTTTAAGGTTTTAAAAATTTGCTTTAAGTAGAGGAGGCTTTAATAATAAAAAATAAATCGATTTACAATAAAAGATAACATGATTATAAAGGAGCAAACTTTAGTTTAATGAAAGAATTTTCGAAGAATAACAGTTTTGTTTTACCATGTGCATCCCCAGGATAACAGAATGTTCAACGAAAGCAAACTTAAGAGGGGATATCTTAAAGAAGATAAGATACGATTTGCTCTGTCGGATGCACACGTTTGTTCCGTATCCAATCCTCAAAGGTATGGAGCGCAATTGCGTTTCTTTGATGATATTTAAGAGGTATTGCATCGATGTAGTTTCAGACGTTTCCTGTCCAATAGAATTGATTCTTTACGAAACGAATCAATAAAGTAACTAAAACACAGAAAAAGAAAAAGTAGTTTACTTTCTCCATCTCGATATCTTAAGCTCCCTTGTACAGCAAAAGAGTTTTGTTCGGTTCTTCAATTGGAGACAATTTAATTTTGATCGTCCAACATCTTGCAATTCATTCTACTGTTGACTCAACTGCAACTGCTTAAAGTGATGATAAAAATTGTTTACTTATATTATTCAGATTAATTCCTTTCAAAAAAATTGTTATAAAAATTAAAAATACTATAGATTAAATATAGACAATTTAATAAATCAATATTCGAAATAAGAATATTGATCTGAATAAGTTAATTTTATATTTTTAAAACTCTTTTATAGTGTATAGAAATCAATAAATAAGAAACAAGTTTTTGTATGTTAAAAATGAAATTTGCTATTTAGAAAAAAAGGTTATTTTTATTTCTTTATATATATAAATCTGGACTGAATTGTTTGGGTCTATAGTAAATCTAATGAAAATAAACTTAGTAATTGAATTAAATTAGATTAGCTTCCAAGCTCTTTCAATATATCAGAAACAATACTTGTACTTCAAAAACAAATCTAATTTATATTTCCAAAAAAAGTGACTTTTTCAATAAAGAATAGAAATGTTTTAATTTTTTAGTGTTTATATTAAATTAAGATCAGACTAAACAACAATAAATTTACTAAATAGTTTTAATTCTATTAATGATTTAGTTTAAATAATAACATATCTTTACTTGTTATGAAATTTCAGATAACCGAATATTAATGTTTTCTTTCAAAGCCCAACTGCTGTTCTGTTTTTAACTGAGATTATTATCAGCAGATAATTTCATTTGCTTACCAATGGTGATTATACTCACACAGATTATGAAAATAAGGTTTCTACTCAACACCTTTTATTGGCTTCGTACAAAGCCATATCAATATTCATTGGATTTAATACATAAAGTGAAACAATATGAAAGTGACAGGGCTCAATTCTACTGATTTATTTCTATTCTTTCAATAATCCTTCCTTTCAAACTTGTTTTCTACAAAAAAAAATATTATTATTTTACTTAAAAAAGTGTTTATAATATTTTCTTTCCTTTTTAAAAATATTTTTTGATAATGAAAACTTTAAAATTAGGAGAAAGAAAATTGAGAAAATTATCTGATTTATTATGTTAGAGATCCACTTTCTCTTAAAATATTGACACTCGACAATTAATTTGAAGAGTGAAAATCTCGCCTTAATAAAAACTTGAAAGCTTAGAAGGAGGAGAAAATCTTTAAAGAACCCTACAAATATTTTTAGCGTTTTCGGTATCCTATTCACTGTCATCTCCTGGCAGAAATCTCCAACTTACTTTGAAGTGCCGAACAAAGGAAGTTTGTACATGGATAGGTATTAGTGCGAGTAAAACATCACCAAGTGCTAGGGTGGGGAAGGTAGAGCGGATATCTGCTGATATCGATCCTCGGGACTGTTCTTCAGACTGGCTAGCAGTGATGGATGACTTCGCCAGGCACGCCTTCCTATGCTGATGACATTAGTAGGTTCCTGGAGAAAGAACTCATCACAGAAACTTCGTCTCCCACAACCTCCTCACAGGTCCCTTGCATGTAACATACCTACTCCTCCCTCATTTCCGAAGTAGACTCTAGTTTACTCACCGTAACGAGTTATGGATCAGAAGCCTACCTTGCACCAAGAAATTTGCTAGTAACATGAAACTTTTTCGTATAATATCGAATATTTATACGACGTTGTTACTACTGTAAACAATATAAAAATCAATTATCTTAGCATACAAATGTTTTTGATAGAATATATAAATTTATAATCATATAATTATGATATATTTTTTTAAAGATTTTTCATCGTTTTTAAAATTCAATCATAATCATNAATCTTAATAAAACTTTTAATATAATCTACTGAAAACATTACATACTTTAAAATTAACTTAGACTATTATCTACTTGAGAAATATTTTTCATGATTTTTATAACACGTTGCATATTTAAAATATATTATAACTAGTTTACATAGTAGCATCAATTATCTTCCATGAATTCAGTGGCATTTATTAAAAAAATAACAAAGCTGACTAGCTCAGATTTATGTATAGACAATCTAATTAACAAATTCAAGAAGAAAGTGAACTTCTTATATAAAGTTTTAAATTAATATTCTGTCAATATCTATATTTCATGCATATTAATAACCAACGTATCCATGTCATATGCATATCCAGCCATTCAGTAATTAAACTTCTCTTACATTCCTTCAAGCGATATTGCTTTACTGTAACCTGAAGGCAGAAACTTTTGACTCAACCGAGAGATAGCTCATTAACTATTGTTAGAATCTCAACCATTCCATTACTGGAAATTTGCATAGCTCGTATTAAACGCGTATAGTTTTATGAATTCTCATGTTATTGGTGAGAAAAATCATACCCTTAGGATAAATATTACTAATTTTGCAGCTAAACGCAGTGGAATACGAAAACGAATGGGGGTAATGATGGTTAACAATGCAAGACTGAGTACCAGTTAATTCTGTTAGTTAGTAGTCAGAATAATTTTGATCATTAGCGAATCGTTTTCGCTTTCTAACTTGAATTATAATTAAGTAGGAAACATATTATCTCAAGTTTATTGCAAATTGTAAATTATAACGATTTGAGTAAATTTTCCAAGCATTTATACCAATAAACTGTTAATACAATATTTAAAAAAATCATAATAATTCAATGCAAATTCAGTAATTAAGATTCTGTTTATATTGAAACGGCAGAGTGCAAATTTGTCTACATCACTTTTATTCATATAAGAATGTATTTTTGCAAGCTTGAAAATTTTGTGAATGCTTTTAAAATTTTAAATAAAAAATTTTTATCCTTAAATCATTTAATTATTATAATAAATTCTTTAATCATCTAAAAATTATCATTTAATTCCTATTTCTATACAATTCTATATAGCAATTGGAGTGCTATTATAAAAATTACAAAAAAATTGCATTTTTATTAAAAATAAATAAATAAATAATCTAAATGGATTTCTATATTATAATTATCATTCCAACTGCAGCATATATTTATTTTTGAAAGAAAATTTAAAAAATTGATTCGTAAATATCAAAATAATTGTGCATATTTTTGTCTGTATAATTTTTAAACATTAAAACTCAGATAAATATTTATTCGTTCAACATCACTTATCAGATGTTTCAAAAATACTAATATTGACATTAGTTCAAACATAATTATACAGAGATGTTTCAGATTAACATCAACGATTAGATATTTATCCTGTCAAACTTATTAAATTTATAATTCTGTTACATCTTTCAATTTCTTAAATTTTCTGCATTTTTTGGGGGGGACTATGTGCTATGGGCTTTTAATTATATCTATCATGAGTTCGGCCAGGTCCACATTGGGGTGATGAGAGACGGAGGGTGAGGGATGAAGGCTCAAATTATCCAGGAAAATATCACCCCGAAAACTTCCTGCGGTTATTCGATTTGTCGGATTCGAACCCGGGTCCTTCAAAGTGGTAGGCTGATGTCTTAACCGCCATTTGACTTCGTATTTTTTTTTTATTTAAATATTTTCTTAAATTTTTAAAAGAATTATTTTAAAATATGTATTTNAATATTAAACAATATCTTGTATAGTGAATGTACCAAAATTAAATAGTATATTAAAAACCTAAAAAAAATAATAAATAAACTAAATCTAATTAACTTTAATAAAGTAAACAAACTATTAAAAAGTCAAACCGATAAAAATCCCCAACTTAACAAGATCTGTCCTATCCAATATCCTCGAGTATCATGTATGCAAAATAAATAAATTAGATTAAATATCAAAATAAACATCTTAATGTTAAGAGAGAAAAAAAATCATTTATTCTAGTCTCGATGATGGATTGAGATAAAGTGATTTAACTGACTCCATTCTCTTGAAATAATTGGTGTAGAAGACATTATCGACTTGTGTAAGCTTTTTCTACCGATATATAAAAAGTAAGTAAAGTTTTTACATTAGGTACTTTTTGAAAGCTTGTTAATGACTCTTGCTGGTATGTTGGATTAGAAAGAGTAATATTGGTTTGATTCGAGAAACCATTTTTTTCATTTCGTGAATTCCTTGGTTTAATAACGCAACTTGCAAAAAAATCATATTAATCTTTGTTGACATCCATTGCGAAAAAATAATCATAATAATCAAGTAAAAGTAGGTTACTTGAAAAATGTGTTCTATTTATTCATTTATAGAATAATCAGTTAATATCGGAAAGTGATAAAAACCAATATTTCTCATTAAAATCATCTCGACTTGCAAAGAAAGAAATAAAAAGAAAAAAGAAAAAGCTAACATTCATTAAAATTACATAGAAAAAAATAGGAGGAAAGTCTATTTTTTAATTAAAAAAGTATTATTAAATAAATTTTTTTTCTTTTCATGTTAATTTTTAAATAAATTCCCGTTCTTTGTAATGCACTTAGATATTTCGAATAAATTATTAATATGTAAGGATTTTAAATGTCTGGAATGTCTTAAACATTTTCATTTTTAATGTGGAAGATCTTAGTGAGAGATGAGTTTTCTCCTCCTTCCAGTAGCCTGCAGTCAAACTTTACTCTAGCATAAGCAGGTAGGAAATAGGAAATTGAGGTTTTAGGAAATTCTGACTTTTATCATGGGATAGTGGTTGCGTAATCCCAATCCATTGGATCGTGGTACAGGGCTCCTGATGGAGTGACCAGAGCAGCCCCAGGCTCACAGCTAACAGCAATATTGGATATGTTTATACATAACTTACTTTTTCTCTTGTTTTTTTTTAAATTTTATACCATTTATATTAAAGTTTTAATTAGTGTAAAGCCACTTATATTATTCTCTTAAATGCTGATTAACAGAAATCGTAGAAAGGTTTTACTTGCAGCTAGGTGTTAAGAGGATGAAAATTGTATTTGCCTTCAGGATAATTCGGTTTATTTGAAATAGATCTCATCGAAAACAAGCTAAAAAATACATGGGGGAAGATGATTTAGAGTGTACCTGAAGGAGAAAATGTTGGAATCTGTTAAACAGGATGAAGTGGAAAAAAAGTGGATACAATTTATATATAGGCCTATATATATATATATGAAGTTTATATATAATATTCAATAAATAAGCTATTATTTTCTTTCATATACATAATTATTTATACATGAAAGAAAAAATATTTTATTTATTTATTTATTAAAAAATATCTTATTACCAACTTAAATTCCCATCTTTACGTCTAAGAATGTTAATAAAATGAGATTAAGGACATATTAAAAAATATTTTCAAAATTTGTTAAAATAGAAAACAAATAATTCTGGTTGTCCTCAAGAATGAATGGAATGGTATGCATCATCATCCAACACCAGAGATTCGACAGACGTTGAGATCCTTATGTAATGAGAAGCGAAAGCTTTGTGGGACTTTGTATGGAAAATGAGTTATTGCCAATCCAATGATATTTCTACATAGAGTTATTGACAAATACATGTGAGAGGTTTCGAATTCACACTTCGAATGGGAGAAACTAATTGATTAGATTACTCTATAAACATAATGAAAATTTGAACGATTGCATTATACATATAAGAATAGTACTTAATGCAAAATTTCTCTCTAATCGTAATTGAATGTCAAATTAAATTCATCAAACAAACTTCGATTGAGATCGAAGAAAACGCATTTGGAGAAAGTATTAAAAAACATTTTATATTATAAAATTTTACTATGGAAATGTTTGATTTGTTGCTTTATAATGTAAAAGCTTTTTGGGATTCGCAAATCAAATATACGATATATTTGACTACGTTTTAAGATTAATGTTTTGAAGATGGCGAACGTTTGTGCAATTGCATAAATAAATTATACGAAACGAGTAAGTTATACCAATTATGAATTTATAAACACTATAACGTCCAATATATCTTAATTTGAATTTAACATGGTAGAAATGAAATTTATTTT